CTGCGACAGAGCCTCGCCAGGAGCCGCCTATGGGGAGAGTTATCCTGGAGCCAGAGGAGGCGAGAGCCCAGAGACAGGCAGAGAGAGAGACGTTCGAGTTTAGAGCCCCTACTGAGCTCGCGACGCTGCCGGTGGCGGCGGCGGACCCAGTCGTACCTTTGGCAGTAGAGGAGGGGCTGCCACCATCTAGCAGTGAGCCGGCTCAGGGCTCGGCAGAGGGATCCATGGGCGTGCTCCTTGAGGCAGTGCATACTATACAGGAGGAGGTGAGTTTGTTTTCACCTGAGCAGAGGATAGAGGAGCCTCTTGAGAGAGAGATGGGGATTGAGGAGGAGGGTGTCATCGAGGGCAGACTCCAGAGGATAGTCATACCTGAGTATGGACCAGAGGAGATTGAGGAGCAGCCCACGGCAGTGCCAGGGGCGGCACTCGAGAGGAGGCCTCAGAGGTTGGACACGCCCGAGTACGTTCCAGCGACAGAGGATTTGAAAGGCAGACTAGGATTTTGGGCTACTGGATCTGGGTCTGGTGGACCAGTTCCGGGGACAGAGCGGCAGGAAGTCGTTGGTACCACAGCTCCTCAAGCAGAGCAGCAGGGGGTTATCAGTACCTTGGCAGAATCTCCTTTATCACCCCCTCCTCAGCCCAGGAAGAAGAAGTTCAAGAGGAAGGTTGATCAACTATGTTTCTACTGCAAGAGGAGCGCGCATCATGCTTTGGACTGTCTCGAGTTTCTTGAGGATAAGGCAACAGGGAAGATCTCAGAGGTAGGGGGTAAAATGTATGATAGACAGGGTAGGATAGTAGAGAAGTCCGCAGATGGACTTAGGGCTCAGTTATATAGGCAAAACCAAAAGGAGTTGAGGAGGTAGGGCCGGCTTTGTCTATATAAGTGAGCGAGCATTTAATGAGGTATCAACTTAGGTTCTGTGTGATACTCTCTTAGACTTAGAAGACATTTTGATGATTACTATTAATCTAGATCTCAACTCTTATGTTTCTACTGAGTTGGGGTTTTGAGGGTCAGGGTGGTTTAGATGAGGCATGTACATATTTAGGTGGCCTACGCCCTGGCCTTTGAGAGACAGATCTGACATGTATTCTAAGGGTAGTTGTCAGTGTGGATTTGGTGTGGCTTGAGTTGAGCAAGCTATGATTTGGAGACACTTTCTGTATGAGACATTGTATTCCCTGAGTGTATATTATGATGAGGTTTCCTTCAGAGAACATTCTTATATGTGACGATCACTTGTCTTTCTCACATGTGTGGTTGTACTCTGATGTATGATGAGTTTGTGTGGATAATGTGTGAAAAACCTTTTATGTATCTTGGGTATGTGAATATGATTGCACGTAAAACTGTCTACTCCTCGGTATACTTGTGCGACCTGCCCACGACAGCTGATAAGGCAGAGTATAAGGAGAGGAAGCGCATATCTAAGTTGTGATGAAGACCCATAAGATGGTCTCTCAGTGATGTTCTGTTTTATGATGGGACTCCCTTAGATTTTGGAAAAAGGAGGGGATGTTTCGTGATGTTTTGTGATGTAACGAAACCCCTCGTGACTTTGAGAGAGGGGTTGTTTGATTTATAATAAGACCCTCGTGATTTCTGGAAGAGGGAATGTATTGTTTTATGGCGAGACCCCTCGCGATTTTTGGAAGAGGGGGTGTTTTGTTTATGAAGAGAGTCCCTTTTGGATTGTTGGAAAATGAGAGTGGTTTTTGGTTGGAAGACTCATCCTCATAAGTGCGTAAATTGATTTATAGCATGACGAGTTGTTCGATGGGTGATAAAGTCTGACGGAAATGGACCACTTTTTGTTTGAAATGTTTGAGAAAGTCGCAATGAGTACAGGGCGAGAGATGTCTCAGGGTGGGTGGTTGCTGGCTCTGATCAAGTCAGGGGTCACGGCTTGGTGGATTTAGCGGTGATTTTGCTTGTAAGCGTGCGAAGGAGGCCATGCCTTCGGACCCCTGCGTATCGCGCAGTGGGCCTATGATTTTGTTTTGACGCACCCGTTTAACCACTGGTGCTAATTCTGAGACATATTGAAGAAAGGCCAAACTAATAGAAAAGAAGTTAGTACCTCATTGCTTAAGGATAGACTTAGGCTTAGTTAATTAGGATGATTTGAGTGAGGTCGTGATATGGGGATTATCCTCCATGGACTTATAGGTTTAGCCTGGGGGTTGGCCTGTCTTGTGTTACAGGTCTTCTTGACCTCTTGATTCAGGACTTGGACTAGATTCAACTTGATCCTACAGGGATCATCTTCTGTTATCACTGATAACAGGTCGGTTGTCGATTCGTCGGCTTACGATTCAATTCCAATTCACTTCTGTCACTCAACCTAAAGGCTTTAGCCTTGTGATTGAACTGTTTTGTTGTGTTTTCACCCGAACTTTATTGAATGACCATCCAACAAAAGTGCTGAGTATTTATTTAAGAGTTGCACGAGTGAGGCTTGTATGGCTAAAGCGAGGGGTATGAGTGCGAAGAATGGTTGAAGTTGACCTCGTGTAGTGCGTGGACTTCTGGTTGAATCTTTGATGTGATTGCAGGTATGGTTGTGGTTCGGCTTCTGGATGTGACTGTCTGTGATGACATACATATATGGCTGAAAGGAGTCCCACCGTGACTGTGAGAAGTGATCGTTCTATATAAATAAGCCTTATGTATATATTTATATGTGCCTTGGGCGTGCGCGCAACTTATTATGACCGCGCGTAAGGGTTAAACAGATTATGGGTTTGAGAGAAAAGGGAGATCCCCTTTTATGCCCTTGTTTTTTAGAGTTTGTATGGTTGGACGTTGTAGTCCGTGGCAGCCGTCAAAGTCAACCTCCTTGACTTTCGCCCAGGCTCGGAGTGAGACTCATCTCCAAGGCAGCAAGAAGCGACTGCCACCACAGGTATGGACCTGTGAACCACCCACTGTGCACAGAGTGCAGAAGAGGGTGTGTGGTCTTCAACCGCGCATGGTGGTTGTCCAGCGTCGAGAGATTAACCCTCAAGGCGCGTGTCAGCCGACACTTGAGTGTCGAATGCGACCCTCGAGATTAACAAGGACCGCATGAGTATGGGTACTACATAGTACGCCATCACTGCGACCGCTTGCGTACGCTTGCATTGCGAGTCGACATGAGTTAGCCCTGCGTCCGCGCGGTTTTATACCGAGTCTCGCGCACGACGCCTATTCGATTTCCACGCTGAAAAGTTATGGGATGGTTACCGAGGGGCTAGGAGCGTTGTCGCGTTGTTTGTGTTGTGTCGTTTCGTGTGCGTGTGTGTGCGTTTTATTTTTGTGTTCGTAAAGTGGTGTGAGCGTGGTGTGTGGAATGCGTCCTAGTCGACCGACGTCGGACCGCGCTTGGGACTTCAGCCCCCCCAAAATGTCGGTTCTCGTGCGGGCCCGATAGGCGTATTACCGCGCGTACCCCCTATGCTACAGCGAACGAGAAACGCCCTTGGCTGGTCCACCTCTGCGATTGCAACCGAGTAGGTTTAGTACTGTGGAGTGGTAGCTCGGCGGGGATACGCCCACCGAAGGGAGATGACAGCTCCCGTAAGGTGGAGGTAAGATGTGCCTCGCGTAGGCCCTATCCTGTCGTAGGGGCTCGCGAGAGGTATGGCTGGCGCACTCGGCCGGAGCGGCCTAAGGAAGCTCCATTTGCGCGTTCGTAACGAGGTTGGTCCAACTCCTGCGTGACGCGGCCGAGAGGGTCCCGCGCTGCCGCGTGCGGTGCCGGACCGATGCGCCCGACAATGCACACACACACACACACACACACACACACACACACACACACACACACACACAAACACACACACACACCATCTATTACGAGGGCGATCGTCTGGTTGCTTATCACCAGTAAGCAAAATCTACAAAACAACAAAAAAACAAAGAGAAGACCCCAAGGAAAAACACTGTGGCCTTTAGGCAACCAACCAACTTTTTGTCCTCCTGTAATTGACCACTTGTAGCCAGGAGACTCCCAATGGTACTCAGACACAACAAACTTCTTTGGCTACCGGATGTCGTTTCTGTGGAAGTAGCAGGTCTTTGGGAAAGGACCCTACCTCTGGAGGGGAGGAAAATACCTCACTCACTAACTATCCTAATCCCCACTCCCCTTTCACTCATCCCCCTACAATTCATAGACTACTGCATTGATGGTCCCAATCATATCATAGATCAACATTATATACTCTCTTATTATGATTTATACAAAATGTGCTTTTGTGCTAGTCTTCTTCTAAAAACTCCTAAATGTGTCTTCCTCTTGGTGCCATTCGTTTTTTTATGTTGTTCTATGCAACATTATATCTTAATGCCTTGTGCCTTCACTCCTTCAGATATCGATTGTGATTTATGTGTGCTTCCCTCTCTGCAAATGACACAGAAATCCCCCCCCTCCTCTCCATACACCCCTACTAGTGTTGAAGCTCATAAATAATTATGACGTCCTATCCCTTAGTCTACACTCTGCGAAGGAGGTGATGCCTCCCAACCATCTAACCCCTTGCTTGTGCCTCCCCTTGGCCCCTTGGGTTAGGAAAGGGTCCGAACTGCAAACTTCATGTGTGGGGATCCAAAGCAACCAGGTCTAGAAACGGGGCCCATGTAGCTCCAAACAAGGAGTCGACAACCACTCACGTCAATCTCACCCGACAACATTCTCTATCAAAATCCACTTGTATGATCACGCAGATATTACCTTGAGCATAAGCCATCACTGTAATCGGGGAGTGCGATGTCTGCCTCCTATGTCCTCGTTCTTGCAGCACCATATGACCCATCATAGAGTCGCTTGCTTTGTTTCCATCACTTTCCCCTATGACCTGATATGCCAATGTGATCCCCCACAAGTATGGCCCCAAAGAATTATTGTATTGTCATAGTTAAGTAAGGGGCTGCACGAAAGGGAAGTCACTCGTACGCCACCACTTTTTCCCACTCCTTCCAAAACGACCCGACCTTCCCAATGTCAACGAATAAGTATGGGACGTCCTCTACTCCTTGACAATTCACATTCCTCATGCTTGTATCGACTCTTAGACGCCTGCCATTGCAGTCTTGGCACCACCAAATGAACCACCATCCAAACTATGGCCCTCTGTCTTTGGTCTGACAATGTGAATACAGTCTGACAAAAAATCCACCCAAGCTCCTAGCCCCAAGTGGGTCAGTTGATGTTGCGATATCAAGCCCCTTTTTTTCCATCACCCAATCGAGTATGAGAAGATAATATGTGCTGGTAATTCTGCCAGTCTTCAGGCTGCCTTGTGGTGGGCATAGCCGACCCCTAGGGTGAACATCAAGATCCTCCACCGGGTTGCGAAATCTGAATGGTCGTGGTCGCATAGGATGACACCTCCCTTCATGTCTGACAACCACAACTTAATACACCTGTTCCAGAAGCACAACCTCGTTTCTCCCATCTTCCCTCTTCATAGGTGCACCCAAGGAATTCACTCCCTTAGTAACGTGCCATGCTGCAGTAAGGTATTGCCTATCCCCTAAATCTTCCACAATTTGGAGAGCGTTCCTTGGTGGCTCATTCCCCGTCTTACCCACCATTCACCCACCTTCCTCTTATCTGCCCGTGACATGTGCACCTAGTCCTTAGGGATGGCTTCCCTAAGAGTGTGCAAACGTTGGGTGCGTGCCATCTGTTTATAGAGTCGTTGTGCCATGATATCATCATCTTCCCAGTTCTTCGCCTGCCGATTTCATAGATAGATCCACCTGAAGAGCATTGGCCGGTAGATGTGCAGCTGACCGTGACCTTTTTTTTTTTTTTTTTTTTCAATAAGGGTGACAGTCTTGATATTTTTATTGGGTGTGTCCTGATCGGCAAGAGTAGGACCCGAGCAAGCACTTCCCTCAATGCCATGGGATATAGGGCGGCACAACCCACC